TTGCCTCAGCCTCCCAACTAGCTGGGACTACAGGCACCCACCACATCCCCCAGCTAATTTTTCTATTTTTAGTAAAGACGGGGTCTTGCTTTTGCTCAGGCTAGTCCTCAACTCTGGACTCAAGCAATCCACCTGCTTCAGCCTCCCAGAGTGCTGGGATTACAGGCGTGGCCTACTTATTTATATTTTTTGAGGCAGGGTCTCACTCTTTCACCCAAGCTGGAGTGCAATGGTGCGCTTACAGATCACAGCAACCACAAACTCCTGGGCTCAAGAAATTTTTCCACCTCAGCCTCTGGAGTAGCTGGGACTATAGGTATGCCCCACCATGCTAGGGTAACTTTTGTATTTTTTTTTTTGTAGAGATGAAGTCTTGAACTCTTGGCCCCAAATTATCCTCCCTCCTGGGCTTCCCAAAGTGCTGAAATTCTAGGCATGAGCCACAGTGCCCAGTCTGTGTACATATTTCCAAACATCATACTGTACATGATTTCTAATTTTTTATTTTTTGGCTATGTGGACTGTAAGCACAAGAGATGTATCCAAATAATACACACACAAAAAAGGATTCTGCCTTTGGAATTTCTACCTTTGAAGTAACATGCACAATTCAAGAGACTAAGAGTTTCTTCTGAAATTGTGGGGAGTGTGGCAGATGTTTTTAGTTCTACTAGGAGAGTTCAAGCTAAGAGTCTTTAAACTGCTAGGATTTTTAACATGTGAACTTCCTATATGTTTTCTCTAATTCTACCAGATATAGCCAAAGTGTTCATAGTGAGTCTATCAATTTATAACTCATTTCGGTTACAGGTATCTTGCTTTCTATTATCATAAGGATGTGTTTCCAGATGTTCTTTTGATTTGTGGTTTGCCAACTTCCTTCCAAGAAATTGTCAAATTGTCAAAAAACCAACTAGACTGGTAGGCCCTTTACCTTAGTTTGTCCTAAAAACAGCATTGTTCTGCCACTCAGCTAAGTTAAACCAATGCAATACTTTGCAGACTCTGACCTAGTTAATTTAGACATCAGAGAGAACAAAGTTGAATTGAGATGGAGAAAGAGTTTTAGAGAAGCATATGGCTTGGAAAAAAATATTTTTTCATTTTCATTCTGTTATTTATTTATTTATTTATTTTTTGAGACAGAGTCTTTGTTGCCCTTGGTAGAGAGCTGCGGCGTCAGTGCTCACAGAAACCTCCAACTCCTGGGCTCAAGCAATTCTCTTGCCTTAGCCTCAGAGTAGCTGGAAATATTGGCGCCCACCACAATGCCAGGCTATTATAAGAGTCAGGGGTCTCTGGCTTAGGTTGGTCTTGAACCCATGAGCTCAGGCACTTCACTCGCCTCGGCCTCCCAGAGTGCTAGGATTATAAGTGTGAACCACTGCACCTGGCCATGTTTAACGTATTTTTTTATTTCTCTAAATACTTCCTATTTGATCCATAGATTCTTTAGTAGTGTTTTGTTTAGTTTCCAGATGCTGGCCTTAACAAATGTATAATGGCATGTAATTGTCATTGCAGTATCATAAAGAATCGTTTCACTTCTCTAAAAATTCCAGAGGGCAGCACCTGTAGCTCAGTGGGTAGGACACCAGCCACATACACCAGGACTAGCAGGTTCAAACCTGGCCTGCTAAAACAACAATCACAACTGCAAAAACAACAAAATAGCCAGGCATTGCGGTGGACACCTATAGTCCCAGCTACCTGGGAGGCTGAGGCAAGAGAATTGTTTAAGCCCAAGAGTCTGAGGTTGCTGTGAGCTGTGATGCCACATCACTTTACCCAGGGCGACAGCTTGGGACTGTCTCAAAAAATAAAAAAATAAAAATTTCCCATGCTCCATTTATTCAACCATTTGTCCCTCTCTCTGAGTCCCTGGCTAATCTCTATCTTAAAAAATATTATTTGAGGCTCGGCGCCTATAGCTCAACCGGCTAAGGCGCCAGCCACGTACACCTAAGGTGGCCGGTTCGAATCCCCAGCCCGGACCCG